AAATATTTTTTGACTTTTTCTGAGAATAAAACAAAATATACTTTTGTGTATCTGATAAAGAGCAAAGATGAGACACTGAATAAATTCAAATGTTACCTGGCCACAATTAAAAATAAGTTTGGCAGAGCACCCCAAAGCTTACGCACTGATGGAGGTGGAGAATATTGCAATGCTGAATTTAAAGCATTTTTGGAACATGAAGGGATTGAACACAAGGTGACTATCCCACATTCGCCTCAACAAAATGGATCTTCTGAGAGGCTGAACAGAACAATTCAGGACATGTGTAGGGCAATGCTTATGCATTCTGGACTACCAAACAGCCTATGGGCTGAAGCTGTGAACACAGCAGTGTATCTACACAATAGAGTACCCTCAAAGCTTACTGGGACCACTCCTTTTGAGGCCTGGTTTAAAAAGAAGCCTGGATTAAAGCACATCAAAGCTTTTGGTTCCAAAGGGTATGCCCACATACCAAAGGAGAAAAGGGGAAAACTTGACCCCAGAGCTGAAGTTGGATTCGTAGTAGGGTATCCAATCGGTGGAAAGGGATACAGGATATACAATCCACAAAATTGCACAGTTAAGGAACGCAATGTTGTATTTGTTGATGAGAGTGATTTGCCAAGTGTTTCCAGTGCAACTGATCCACAGATGTCTGGGACTGCACCTGAAGAGTTGGTGACATGGTTACCTGTAGTGATCACCGGGGAACCGGCAGGTCTACCTTCTGAGGAAACTACCAGAACAGAAGGGGAAGCGGGAACCACACCAGAGGAGGCAGCAGAACCCACAACCAGTGTGAGACGGTCAGAAAGGAGCACTAAAGGGCAACCACCAAAGAAATATGGATTTTGTGAAACTGTGCAATCCGCAAAGGAGCCCAAGAACTGGAAGGAAGTATGCAACCTACCTACGAGTGAAAAAGACAAATGGATTACAGCAATGGAACAAGAAATACTATCCATTTACGAGAAGGAAGCATGGACTCTTACTAAGCTACCTCAAGGCAGAAAGCCTGTTGGATGCAAATGGGTTTTCAAAATAAAGCATAAAGAAGATGGAACTGTGGAGCTATACAAAGCACGCCTAGTGGCCAAAGGCTATTCACAAGAATATGGGACTGACTATTTTGAAACTTTTGCTCCAGTTACCGACCAAGCAACTTTCAGAACACTTCTTAGTGTTGCAGCATCAAGAGACATGGTTGTAGAGCATCTTGATGTAAAGACTGCTTTTCTCAATGGAGAACTATCCGAAGAAATCTACATGGAACAACCTGAAGGTTTTAAAGTCAAAGGACAAGAGGATTATGTCTACAGACTCAACAAAGGACTCTATGGGCTAAAACAAGGAGCAAAGGCCTGGTATGACAAAATTACTGGACTGCTACAGAAGCAAGGTTTTGAACAAGGGAAAGCTGAACCTTGTCTGTACACTAGAATTAAAAATGGACAATACCAGTATGTTCTTGTTTACGTTGACGACCTGATCGTGGCCTGTCAAAACAGAAAGGACATCAAAGACATAGCTGATGGACTGAATAAGGACGTGGAAGTCAAACAGCTAGGAGATGTACAACAGTACCTCGGAATGCAAATTGAGAGACTCGAGGATGGGACTTTTCTTCTATGCCAGAAACGAAAGATTATGGACTTTGTAGAATCTATTGGCATGAAGGACTGTAAAACATCATCCATACCAATGGAACCTGGATATCTGAAGGAAAAGAATGGACAACCACTCAGAGACATTGGAGAATACAGAGAAGCAGTTGGGAAACTTCTCTACCTGAGCAAAACCACGAGACCAGACATCACAGCGGCAGTTGGCACCTTATGCAGAAAAGTGAGTTCGCCTAATCATCATGATTGGAGTGCAATAAAGAAACTGGCGCGGTACCTGAAAGGAACAATGGACTTACAACTGAAAATTGCACCGTCTGAAGGGCCCAGACTAGTCGTATACATGGACGCCAACTGGGGAGAAGAATCGGACAACTACAAGTCTACAAGTGGATATCTATTTTTCTACGGAGATGGACTAATAGACTGGACTAGTAGAAAACAAACTGTTGTGGCGCAGTCTACAGCGGAAGCGGAGTGTGTTTCAGCAGCAAGTGCCTGTAGTAGACTTGAATGGATTTTTCATATGTTAAAGGACTTTGGAATAAGAGAACCTGTACCTGTACTTATGTTTGAAGATAATCAGGCTTGTATTACCATATGTAAGGAAGAAAGCACCACAGCTAGAAGTAGATCAATTGGTATTAAGTGTGCTTTAGTGAAGGATTTGTACCAGAAGAAGCTGATAGATATTGAGCATTGTCGTACAGAAGAAATGGTGGCTGACATTCTGACTAAGCCACTGACCAAAGAGAAATTTGAACGTCTACGTAAAATGTTGAATATGATTGGTACAAATGTTGAATTGAATAATTAATAATGTTTTTGTATGTATGACTTACATGTCAGACCTTGAGAAGGGGTGTTGGAAATGTATGTGTTTACAAGGTCTGATTCAGTCATTATAGGGTTAACTTGTATTCCTAGTTTGCTATTGTTTAGACTGACCTGGAAGGGATACCTGGCACTAAGCCAATGGGGGATTTGCCCGGGAAAAGTAACTTCTACTGTGATGCAGATTGGCCATTTGTTTCAGGTGACTTCCTTTCTAGGGGTCAAGAAGAAGGAGGAAATCTCCATTACGTGTGTGCTTGTCTTCAGTATAGGAAGCTTAGAAATGTAGCTCTTAGTGTTTTGTTAATTTGTAGCAATCCCGTGTACCTTTTCCCTTAGAATAAAGTATTTTTAAAAAGCAAAGAAATCTCTTCTTTCCAATAGAGCAAGATCCATCAAATAGTCTGAGTATTAAACAATTTTTGACTATTTACAACAGATACAGCATAAATATTCCAGCTGTAGCCTAAGTTACTTTACAGAACACTATTCATCATGACGCAGCCAGAAAATATCATGGCATACTAGCATGGCATCAGCATAAATTTAGCCTGGCTTCCCTCTTGTCTATGAGTGTATTATACTTTCTGCCTCCGAGGGTCAGGTGGTCCTAATGACCTAGTCAGGGGTCTTTCTTGATGGAATTTTCCAGAGGCTGCCAGCACCCTCCTAATCCCCCCGCCCTCCTGGCTACACAGCTGGATACAGGTTCTCACGAGTAACCAAAGGCACTGAAAAATATAAGAATGTTCACTGCAGGGAGACTCGAATCACAAATGCCCGAAAGCCAAACCAGGCCACTTAATAATCATGTAAACCTTTGGGGGAACTATGGTGCTCTGCCTCACAGATCTATTCCCTTTATACTGGTTGGGATTGTGGGCTTTGATCTTGACCATGGTTTCATCCTTCCAGAAGAATTTTTACTCTTGAACTTCTTTCCTTCCCCATATAAGAATGATCACTCTCTCTCTCTTTCTCTCTCTGAATTAAGGCAGGAGTATAGGAGAGACTACGGTGGAGATAGACAACAGCCTTGCATCTGAAGAAAGGCTGAGGATTTCCTCAAGAGGATCCGAAGAACCTGTTTCCTTCCCAAATGAGCCGGCTGAGAGTGAGTATCCTTCACGGTTATGTCACGGGAAAAGGCAAGGAAGTGCCATGGGGGATTTCTGATTCACTTCTGAACAACATTTTGTACAAACATACAGCCCGCTGGGGAAGGAGGGAGGGTTAGGTCTGAAATGTGGAGGCTCAGAAGCTCTTTCTGGGCAACCGCTCAGCTGTGTCACTTGAGGGGGTGAGGAAAACTTAAATACTAGATATTCTGGGGAAAGGTCGAGGACCATCAGTCCTTATCTACAGGAGTCACATAGATGCCTTTGGACCTTCCAAGCCCGTCCAGGTGCTAACAGGATCTCCCTGTTTTTTCCAGCAGAAGATGATCAGAGGAAGGAAGAGGATGAGGCAGTTCATCAGCAAATGCCAGATAAAGTTAAAAATGAAGACTTGGAGGAAAATGTCAGAAATCAAGGTGGACTGATGAGAAAGAAAGGCGGTGATATGGTTGAGAAGAGAGATGGAAGACAGCATAATGTACATATTCCAAAGCACAGGATAATGAAGGCAAGTAAATCCACTTGGTGGGAAAAGTACTCCAGAAACAGACCACAGCCCTTTGTACACCAAAGAATACATAGAGTCGAGAAACCTTTTGAATGCTCAATGTGTGGAAAGAGATGCAGTGTGAGTGGGAAACTTCAAAACCATCTGACAACCAACAGAGGGAAGAAACCTTTCAAATGTTCTGCATGCAAAAAGAGATTCAGTCACAGTGGCAGTATTCAACTGCATCGAAGAACGCACAAAAGTGAGAAGCCTTCTGAATGCTCAGAGTGTGGAAAGAGATTCAGTACCAGTAACTATCTTCAACGGCATCAGAGAACCCACACAGGTGAGAAACCTTTTGAATGCTCAGAGTGTGGAAAGAGATTCAGTCAGAGTGGCAATCTTCAACGGCATCTAAGAATCCACACAGGTGAGAAACCTTTTGAATGCTCAGAGTGTGGAAAGAGATTCAGTCAGAGTGGCCATCTTCAACAGCATCAGAGAACCCACACAGGGGAGAAACGATATGAATGCTCAGAGTGTGGAAAGAGATTCAGTGTGTGGGGGAATCTTAAATGCCATTGGAGAATCCACACAAGGGAGAAACGTTTTGAATGCTCAGAGTGTGGAAAGAGATTCAGTCTGAGTAGCACTCTTCAGAAGCACAAAAGATCCCACACAGGGGAGAAACGTTTTGAATGCTCAGAGTGTGGAAAGAGATTCAGTGAAAGAAGCGATCTTCAACGGCATCATAGAATCCACACAGGGGAGAAACCTTTTGAATGTTCAGAGTGTGGAAAGAGATTCAGTGACAAAAGCTATCTTCAACGGCATCATAGAACCCACACAGGGGAGAAACCTTTTGAATGCTCAGAGTGTGGAAAGAGATTCAGTCATAGTGGCAATCTTCAACTGCATCAGAGAACCCACACAGGGGAGAAACCTTTTGAATGCTCAGAGTGTGGAAAGAGATTCATTCAGAGTACCAATCTTCAACTGCATCAGAGAACCCACACAGGGGAGAAACCATTTGAATGCTCAGACTGTGGAAAGAGATTCAGTCAGAGTAGTAATCTTCTCCTACATCAAAGAACCCACACAGGGGAGAAACCTTTTGAATGCTCAGAGTGTGGAAAGAGATTCAGTCACAGTGGCACTCTTCTCCTACATCAAAGAACCCACACAGGAGAGAAACCTTTTGAATGCTCAGAGTGTGGAAAGAGATTCCGTCACAGTTACAGTCTTCACCTGCATCGAAGAACCCACACAGGGGAGAAACCTTTTGAATGCTCAGAGTGTGGAAAGGGATTCCGTCACAGTTGCAGTCTTCAACTGCATCAAAGATCCCATACAGGGGAGAAACCTTTTGAATGCTCAGAGTGTGGAAAGAGATTCAGTAGGAGTTACAATCTTCAGGTGCATCAAAGAAATCACACAGGGGAGAAAACTTTTGAATGCTCAGAGTGTGGAAAGAGATTCAATAGGAGTTACAATCTTCAGGTGCATCAAAGAACCCACACAGGGGAGAATCCTTTTGAATGCTCAGAGTGTGGAAAGAGATTCAGTCACAGTGGCACTCTTCAGCTACATCGAAAAATGCACACAGGGGAGAAACCTTTTGAATGCTCAGAGTTTGGAATTAGATTCAGTACCAATAAAAACTTATAAATTCTCAAAGCGTGGAAAGAGATTCAGTCAGAGTGACACTCTTTTACTGCAATGAGGAACACACAGAAGGAGAAATGATGTAACTACTTAGCTGAGAAAAGAGCTTTCCTCCTATTTCACTCAACGTATACAAACCACTGAAAAGATGCAAACTGCTGTAAGAAGCTTGAAACTACAGAGAAACCTTACGCTAACCCCCAAGAAATGTTCAAAATAGTGTGTGGAAAGAGCTTTAGCCATGTTCAAAACTTCAGAATGATTCCAGAGGGAAGAAAGCAAGGAATGGCAAAGGGCTCTTCTGGATGAAGGAGCAGCTGATCTCTCCTTTATCATCAACGGGTCCTCTCAGGGAAGGAACCTTATCAATGTTCAATGGGTGGCAAGGCCGTGAGGCACAGATCCAATCTTCATGTTCCTCAGAGAATCTATACAAGGGTGAAACTTTCCTATTGCTGGTTCTGATCAGGTTCTTCAAACACCCTGGTGCTGGAGGTTCCAAAAGACTGAGAATGTAGTTTATTCATTTTTTATTTATTTTATTTATTATCAAATTTTTACCTCACCTTCCCAGCTGAGGCCAGCTTACATAAAAGAATAAAAACACACGGGTAAGCAATTTAAGTAGTCCTAAAATCGTATAAACCATTCCACACTAAAGGGTGCCAACATTAATAACATTAATAGGTTATTAGATGATGGTGGTTGGCCTTCAGTATTCCATCGTAGTGGTCAGCCCAAAAGATCTAACCTTTGTGCAGCTGGCAAAGGCTGTTCTAGTACCTTCAGGGAAAAGGTTCTCAGGGCAGCTCTAAATTGAAGGCCTGGCAGAAGAGCTCCATCTTGCAGGCCCTGCGGAACTGTATGAGGTCCCGCAGGGCCCTGATCTCTGCTGGGAGCTCATTCCACCAGAGAGGAGCCACCATTGAGAAAGCCCTGACCCTGGTTGTAGCTAGCCTGGCATCCATGGGTCTGGGGAGGGCCCATCGATGTTGGGACCCTGATCGCAGTGTTCTCTGGGGAACATGTGGGGAAAGGCGGTCCCTCAGGTATGTAGGTCCCTGGTGGCGTGGCATCACTGCCGAAAGGAATGGTCACCTGAATGGTGAGTTCCTCCGATAACCTCCCTGCCTCATCACCCTAAGCCCCTTTACCCACCATCAAACCTGGCCCTATTATGGCCAGATCTTCCGCCATCAAGAACAAAAAAAAACAGCCCAAAAGACCTCTGTTTCGGACTATTTTCCGAATCAAAACACCTCTCCTTCTCGAGGCACAACAGGCCAATCTAGCACCAAAATGGCGGCGGAGGGTATACTTCCCGGCGAAGAAGGCCTTGGTGTCTCCCATCAGAATTTTTTCCCCTCATTACAGCAACTTGAGAAAAGCATGGCAGCAACATTCATGGCACTTTTACAACCTGTTTCAACGCAACTGCAAGAACTTCAACAATCTCTTACAATGGTCTCCCAAACAGCAGACTCCGCCATGGAGGTCCGGCTGACAGTGCAGAAGGACACGAAATATCTCTATGCTAGAGAAGACTGGGCCTCTGAAAAAATACTTACCTTAGAAAACTAACTTAGAGCTAATAATTTGAAATTCTGAGGCGTTCCGGAACAGACTGAAGAAAACAAAGATCTATGTATTTTCCTGGCAACTTGGTTTGCAACTGCCCTTCAACCTGAAAAAGGGGTTGCCCCGCTTAAGACTGGGTGTATAGAGCGGGCTCCATTAAACACCAACAGCGTCTGCAGCCTCAAGACATCATAGCTAGATTCAGTTGTCTGCGCACCAAAGCGGCCATCATAACACAAGCCAGAGCTCAAGGCACCTTAATGTTCTCCGACCACAAAATCAGGGTCCTCCAAGAACTCTCACCAGATACCTTAACAAGACCCAAGCTGTTGAGACCAATAACTTCAACCCTGTAGTCAGCTAACCTGAAGTATCAATGGATGGCTGCTTTTAAACTACAAGCCTAATGGGTAGAGGGGTCCTTAGTGCTGTTTAATATGATAGAATCTTTTTTCCTACCTTTTCTCTCTTCTAACTTGTGGCAGGGAGGGGGAGGGAATTCTCTTGTGCTCTTGCTCCCCCTGTTGTTCTGTCAATTTACTTGCACCTTCATTTAAAACCCTGAATAATAGGGACTGCAGGTTTTATTTAAAAGCTCTGCCTGATTTATTTGTTCTGTCATTTTAAAACTGTTACTGGTTAACTGTTTGTTTTTATTTATGATCACAATTGACTCACCTCCTGTACTCATAGACTACTTTTTGGTATATAAGGAGGGATTAAATGACTGTTTACATTTTATTGTTAAGCCACTACTTTTAATTCTGAAAGGGTTTTTAGCTCATGTTTGTTCTACCCTTCTACACTTCATGTTTACATTCCACCAGGCTCTCTTATTCGCCAAATGGGACTCTTCCTGTGCTCTTGTTAGAGCTGATGGGTTCTCTGTTCTCCTATACCACATTGTATCTCTTCTGAACTCAACTTTGAAGGTCTATATGGTCATTATACTACTTCTATTGAATTTCTATGTGTGGTCAGTCTAATATTAAATTTATTTCCCTAAATTGTAGAGGGCTGAATAATGCCATTAAGAAGAAGAGGATTGCATTTGCATTGGCAAAACAAAAGCCTGAGGTAATTTTTCTCCAGGTGATGCACTTAAACTCAAAACAGACCAAAGTTCTGAACTCACCTAAATTTTCCCAACCGTTTCAAGCACATGGAAATTCTAAGGCCAGGGGCGTTGCTATCTTGCTAAGTAATACTTTTCAATTTATTACAGAACTAGTAGAAAGTGACCCTTTAGGCAGATTTGTGTTTGTAAAAGGGAGCCACCAGGGGAAACCCTTAACTCTGGTATCAATCTATGCTCCCAGCAGTGAGCAACTTACCTTTCTTTCAGAAACACTTGATAAACTAGATTAATTCAGTAATGGTCCTTTCGTTATCGGAGGTGACTTAAATTTTATTTCAGATGCCTTCCTAGATAGATCCCACCCATACTCTGCAGCCCATAAGCCAGCCTCAATCAATTCCTTCAAACCCACTCAACTGCAAACGTTATTTCAAAACCATGGGCTGTGTGACATCTGGAGAGCTAGGCACCCTAATGAAAGAGACTATTCATATTTCTCTGCTAAAAATAATGTTCATACTAGGATTGACTATCTTTTGGTTTCAACCTCTATTTCTAACCAATTCCCTTCAGTGGACATAGGCTCCAGGTTATGGTCAGACCATTCCTGGGTAGAAGGTTACATGAAAAATTACGACTCTTTGACTCATGACCGCTGTTGCAGATTAGACAATAATCTTTTATTGACAGAATCTTTATTAAAAGACATCAAAACGAGCATTGTGGAATACTTTAAATTCAATGATGGCTGTGATGTTCCCCAACAACTGATTTGGGATGCCTTTAAAGCTGTCCTCCAAGGCAAATTAATATCCAACAAGACCATATCAAACAACATTATACTTACAGCTGGATAACCAAGCTATGGCACTATTTAGGCATAGATATCCCTCTCCACTTTACCGATATAGTCAAGCATAACTTCTTACCTCTCAGCAAAATTCTTACCTCTCAGCAAAACCACCTGGACTTGAACTGTGAACGCCAGTAGTGTATGGATGTGTGGATGTTGTCTGGATGCATGGGAGAATGATGGAATAGTCTGCTACTGATGTGTATGGGAAGGGTAGAGTGACTGGTTGTAAGGAGTGCTGACTGTTGGGGTAGGAGTGGCTAGGTTTTGGGGTCTTTTATTACAGCCAACATATAGGAATATTTGTATAGCAGAGTGAGGCTAAGATTGTATACCAGCTGGGGGGGAAGTAGTACATGGAGGACGGTTGATTAGCACACCACTGGCGGTTCGGGGCTGCAGCGAGGACTGGCCTGTGGCAGCAATGCAAAGTCAACAGATTCCGGTGCTCTTTGGGAGGGGAAAGTATAGCAGTGGGCCCAGGCCATGGAGTATGGGAAGGGTGCTGAGAAACAAAAGGGCTCAGCGTCCTTCCAGCCTGCGGCTCATCCCAAAGGATGACGGCAGTGGGGCTAGGATTAGTAACCCCCCTTCGACATTGGTAGGGTGCAATGCCAGGTCAATTAACAATAAAACAATGGTCCTTAGGGACTTCATTATGGAATAACAGGCTGACCTGGCTTGCGTGACCGAGACCTGGGTGCAGGAAGGGGAGACGGTAGCTCTCTCCCAGCTTGCCCCACCTGGGTTTTCGGTCCTGCACCAATCTCGGACTAGGGGGCGGGGGGGAGGAGTGGTGATATTTGTACGTGAGGCTTACTCCTTCAGGGCGTTCCCTGTGGTGGAGATCGAGGGCGTAGACTGTGTTGGCCTGGTGTTGGAGGCCGAGGAGTGTTTGGCAATCTGGCTAGTGTACCGTCCGCCTAACGCACCGGCCAGTAGCCTGCCGTCCCTACTCAAGGCCGTATCAGGCTGGGCGCTGGAGCACCCTAGGCTTTTAGTCTTGGGTGACTTCAACATCCACGCCAATGACGCGGCCTCAGGTTGGCTACGGACCTGGTGACGTCCATGGCGTCACTAGGAATCTCCCAATGGGTGTCGACCCCCACGCATCAGGCTAGGCACATGCTCGATTTGATCTTCGCGTCAGGGATCACAGTGGACCGAATTACCGCGAAAGCGGTATCATGGTTGGACCACTATGCCCTGAAGGCTCGTGCAAATGTCCCGCCCCGACCCCGTTTAGGCGGCGAGCGGATTTTAGCTCGCCCACGGAGCCTAATGGACCCAATGCAGCTTCAGATGGCTCTGCGGGATCCGATGCACCCTGGCGGCTCGTTGGATGAGCTCGTGGGTAACTGGCATAGCCAACTTTCTACGGCCATCGATGTGATCACTCCCTGGCGCCCTCTGCGCCCTCGCTCTAAGCTGGCCCCCTGGTATACCCAGGGGCTGCGGCTTATGAAACAGGAGCTCAGATGGTTAGAGAGACGGTGGCGCCGAGCTCGCGATGAGGCTACAAGAGCATCTTATAGGACGTTTATGAGATCCTATGAGATGGCAGTCAAGGCTGCGAAGAGGGAGCTCTACGCAGCCAGGGTTGTGCCCGCTAGCTCATGCCCAGCCCAATTATTTAGAATGATTCAATCATTGACAGCTTTGCCTCAGGGCGGACAAAATAGTAGGGAATTGGATATTGGCTGTGAGGCTTTTGCGAGCTATTTTGCGGATAAAGTCTTGATGCTCTGCCACGACCTCCCCGCCACAGTTGATACAGTAAGTGAACTTGAGGCCCCTTGCACGGCTTCGCCGGGTTTGGGGGGCTTTGACCAGCTCAGCCTGGAGGAAGTTGATAGATTGCTCGT